TGGCTCTTTTATGACTCGTGGACTTCAACTCCCAGAATTCCTGAGCCAGCTGTGCTGGCTCAGGAATTCTGGGAGTTGAAGTCCACGAGTCATAAAAGAGCCAAGGTTGACTACCCCTGATATAGAATTAACAGAGAGAACTACACAGGTTTTAAAACAAATCCTGGAGTTATTTGAACGGTCACAAGATCAGCGCACAAACTGCATCCTGTAGGCTGGGTTTGCATCAGCCAGCAAACCACGGTTAACCAAATGCTGGCTACTTGAATTAATCTTGTGGTCTGAACTTGCAAAGCTCACTGAACTATACACGGCATCGAACCGGTAAATAGCCAGTCACAGTTTAGCTCCGCAGGTTGTGTGAATCTGATATGGGGGGGAGGGCTTTTCGCTGGCAAACCAGGAGAACTTGAACTCGGGACTCTGGAAAAGAGAGAGGGGAAAAAAATTGCAGGCACGTGAGAGGAAAGGCTTTTGAATGGAAGTTCTAAGATCACTTCTGTGGGGGGGGGGAAAGCACCTTGGATTAAACCTGCATAGGTGGTTTAGGATTGTCCCATCAATCCTTACAGACACAGCCCTAAGACAGAAAGTGGGTTTGTGAACTGAGGTTTCATTGATAAAGCAAAACAGGATTTGTGGGGTTTTTTGTACATACTCTCTCTTGAAGTGCGTATCTGCATGAGATGGTCAACAGATGTCCGGTGCAGGAAAATAACTATAAAATAACAGTGTGTTCGGTCCCCAAACAGATCTTAATCTCACCAATAAGCAAATGTCAAGTAACTTGATTCTTCCTGTTTGATGCAAAGGCAGGGAATTGAAGCCTGTATAAAGTCTTTTTTTAGCTAAGGAATTAGCAGAGAGTATCAGCAAAGATCTTGGAAGGAGTAGGCTGTTGATACAGGCAGTCCTTGAGTTACATCCATTCTTTTAGTGACCATTTAAAGCAGTGGTTCTCAACCTTTTTAATGCCGTGACCCCAACCGGTCATAAGTCGAGGACTAAACCGGTCATAAGTCGAGGACTAAACCGGTCGTAAGTCGAGGACTAAACCGGTCGTAAGTCGAGGACTACCCAACCAGTCGTAAGTCGAGGACTTTCCCTGCCAGGGAGCGCCACGCATGCGTGGTTCCGCCCCCTGCGCCGGCCGAGGCATAGCTGGCAAACGGCAGAGACGGAGCAGGCCGACCACCAGCTGGCCCAGCCCAAGGGAGGTAAGGCACCCGCCGGAAAAGGGGGGAAAAAATGGCGGACAAAAAAAATGGCGGACAGCCTTGCTTGGCGACCCCCATGAAATGGTTGATCGACCCCAAATGGGGTCCCGACCCACAGGTTGAGAACCACTGATTTAAAGTTACAACAGCATTGAAAAAAGTGACTTATGACCGTTTTTCATTCTTACGACCGTTGTGGTCAAAATCTGGACGCTTGGCAACTTGGCTCCTATCTGTGACGGTCGCTGTGTCCCCTGGGGTCACGTGATCCCCTTTTGCGGCCTTCTGACAAGCAAAGTCAATGGGGAAGCCAGATTCCGTGAAGTTAACTTAACAAGTGCAGTAATTCATTTAACAGACGTGGCCAGGAAGGTCGTAAAACGGGGCAAAACCCACTGAACAAACGTCCTGCTTAGCAACAGAAATTTTGGGCTTAATTGTGGCCATAAGTCAAGGACTACCTGTGTTGCAGAATAGCAATAAAATAGAAGTTTTTTTATTCAGGGCCAAGCCTCTTTCCCTTCAGCCTCAGCCACCCGGTTACATTCACACGTTACACCCAACCTGAAAGCCGAACCCAACCATTTTCTAGTTCACAAATCACACTGAGCCAGAAACCACCCCAATACACCAATTCACAATATCCTAAACCAGGGGTAGGCAACCTTGGCTCTTTTATGACTCGTGGACTTCAACTCCCAGAATTCCTGAGCCAGGCATGCTGAGGGGAAAGGGAGAGGTTTCCAAGCTGAGCCATGCTGGCACAGGAATTCTGGGAGTTGAAGTCCGCGAGTCATGAAGGGGCCATAGTTCCCCCATGCTGGCTCAGGAATTCTGGGAGTTGAAGTCCACGAGTCATGAAGGGGCCATAGTTCCCCCATGCTGGCTCAGGAATTCTGGGAGTTGAAGTCCCCGAGTCATGAAGGGGCCATAGTTCCCCCATGCTGGCTCAGGAATTCTGGGAGTTGAAGTCCACGAGTCATAAAAGAGCCAAGGTTACCTACCCCTGTCCTAAACCATACGGGAAAACCTTATCTAGGCAAACGCAAACTCTGTTCTAGCATAATAAACCAGTTCCCCTGCTACATCTTTACCTGACCTGGGTTAATGGGCTGTGTGAACACAACGTTTGCCCTTTCTCCGCCCCTCCGTTGTGGCTTTCCTTGTTGCCGTCAGCAGAGTGTACACAAGGAGGGCTAATCCATATTTTGGGGAAAGCCTGTTCCCAGCAACTCTTCAACGGATCTTAGCCCTCTACAACTTCCCTTCCAAGGTCCCTTTGCTCATTATTGGGGAAGAATGAATTGACAATAGGATAAGCGTGCTAGATGGGAGTGGAGCTGTACTTTCTGCAGGATGTTTCAGCAGTTCCAAGAAGGCTCCACCCCCATTTGCACCACTCAGGTGACCCCGAGGACACAGGTAAACCTTCAAGTGGCCTCAACGATTCTCAGAGGGAGTACTAACGACCAGATGACTGCAAGGAATATAAATCCTTCCATCCGCCACCGTTCAGTCGGAACCTGAAGAAGCTTCCTGGGATGAGAAGCGAAACGTCTTCAAAGAAAAACAAGGAAGTCCAGTTGCCTCCTGAAAAAGCACCTTTGGGACAACCCTGACCTGGAGGACGGAGAATCTCCGTAGACTTAAAGCTTCGCAGAGATATACATCCTACCCGCATAAAACTAGCACTGTGATAAAAACGAGATATTTTATAAAGGATCTGCAAACTAACAGGGCCCCTTTGGGGAAATGGGGTGCAACAGATTCACCTGTTGTTGTTTTAGATCTTATCTCGACACAGGTAGTCCTCAACTTACAGCCGTTTGTTAAGCGGCCGTTTGAAGTTACAATGGCTCTGAAAAAAGTGGCTTATGACCGTCTTTCACTCTTACGACCATCACGGCTTCCCCAGGGTCATGTGATCAAAATTTAGGGGCCTGGCAACCGGCGTGTATGCAATGTTCCCGGGATCAGCTCATCACTATTTTTGACTTTTGACAAGTAAAGTCAACGGGGGAAGATGGATTTGCTTAACCACCATCTGATTCCCTTAACAACTGCAGTGATTCATTTAACAACCGTGTCAAAAAGATTGTAAAATTAGGCCCTATTCGTTCAACAACCGTCTCGCTTAGTCACAGAAATTCTGGTCCCAATCTTTGGTCGTAAAGTCAAGGACTACTTAAATCTAGGCAAGGGAGTAATGTGAAATATCCTTCTGGAGAACATTACCATAATTACACCTGCATTAGTTACGTTTGCCAAGTTGCCTTTTTTCAACTGTGACGCTCTAAATTCAACAATGCGTTTTGATTGATTGATTATTATTATTTTGCATTCATGTCAGAAGCACCGAGACGCTTCTGGGTTGAAAGGATTAACCGGTGACATCGCTGTGGTCCTGGGGCTGCCCAGTTGGGGGGCTCCGTTTACGTCCCGGGCAGGAGCCGGGGCAAAGGACAGGAGCTCAACCCTGCCCCATCGCAGTTCTTGGGCCTCCAACATGGGCTTGCTAATCTCCTGCCCAGTGTCCCAACCACTCAAGCCCCGGTGCTCCTACCGTATTTCCCTGAAAATAAGGCCCAACTGGAAAATAAGCCCTAGTGTGATTTTTTCAGGATGCTCGTAATATAAAAATAAGCCCCAGTTCAGATCATCAGCCAGACAGATGCATTTAATACCGTATTTCCACGAATATAAGACCTCATTGGAAAATAAGCCCTGATGCGTCTTTTGGAGCAAAAATTAATACAAAACCCGGTCTTATTTTGGGGAAAACACAGGTATTTTGAAAATGAAGATTTGCTTTGAATTGGGAGTGCTTCTGACAGGTAGCCAGGCATCGAATGCAGCTTGAAATATAGAGTGGATGGACTTTTAAATATCTAGGCTTTTATAACCATTACTATAAGGGTCCAACATCAAAATGCTGTCCTTCTACCATATATACCGCACACCAGGTACCAAATACTGCCCAACACAGATTCAACTATTGTAAGATCCACGGACACCGATATCATATCTTCTACAAAGAGGAAACTATTGCGAAAACATCCAGAGATGCTCCAATCTTAAAAAATTCCTGCGGGAGAATGAGGAAGAATTTTTTTTTTCTCGTTGAGTGGGAAGGCGGCAGACGAGGAATTAATTTCAGTTCGAGAATAATGCATTGAAAAAGCTGATTTATACCCAACGGGCTATTGTTTTCTCGACATGCTTGTCCTCAGAAGGACAATTGCATACTTTAAAGAATTCGCAGGGTGGCAATTTACAGAAAGAGCCCCAAAAAATAAAATAAAAGGCATTGCTTGGAGATTTCTTCACCCTTTTGTGAAGCCATACAGCTAAGACCGCTTTGTAAAGAGACTGTTGGAAATCAAATCCACTTAGGATGAGTAGCTGGCCATTATTATTATTATTACTATTGTTATTATTATCATCAACATCACCACCACCACCAGCGTCGTCTCTAAAAGAGCTGGAGGCAGAAGAAAGAGGCCAAAATCAGGCTGAAAGTTCCAACCGACGGCAGGAAACCGGCAAAGAGAAGGTACTAGATGCCAAAATAGTGATCTGCAGATAGAAAATGGATCAAAGAAAGTTTGGACACAGGCAGGTGAATGAGAATTCAGTGTTGATTCGCCGAATTCCTCCGAGTACAGCCAGCAGCTAACTCATAACTGGAAAAAAAATGCCTTTTGGAGGGTTGATGCAGCTTTTCAGCCAAATGTCTTCCTGATTAACTTTGTTTTCCAAAGCAGAACCACTCAGCCTTTCTGGAACCTTCTCCAAAGAGAAGGTAAAGCAAATGGATGGCCTCCTTGACTGCTAGAAGCCTCTGTGGTTTCTCTAGCATGCCCCTGGCTTGGCTACTGCTTCACCGTCTTGCTGGGCTCAGACGACTGCCGGACATCGGTCCACTCCTGCATTGTGTTCTGCAAAGCTTGCGTCTTCTCCTTGTCCACCTGCACGTAGTCGACTTTCTCATCCGAAGCGACAGAGGATGTGGAGGGCTGTCCACAGAAAGGAGAGAGGAGGAGAAAAGATGGGAGAAGGGTCCAGGTTTTGCCTGGTTTGTCTTGCAATGTAAAGCAGTGTTTTTCCAGGCTTGGCCATTTTTAAGACTTGTGGACTTCAACTCCCAGAATTCCCCAGCCAGCGATGCTGGCTGGGGAACTCTGGGAGTTGAAGTCCACAAGTCTTAAACGGGCCAAAGTTGGAGATCCCTGTACAAGGTTACTTACTAAACGTTCAAGCTTGGCCACTTTTAAGAGAAGTGGACTTCAACTCCCAGAATTCCCCAGCCAGCCATGCTGACTGGGGAATTCTGGGAGTTGAAATCCTATAGTCTTAAAGTTGCCAAGCTTGACAAACATTAGTGCAAAGCATCAGATTCAACCCATTCAAGAAAAGATATTTCCTCCCCTCCCTTAATGTTTTATTTAACTAATAAAAAGGAGGTTTAAAAAAAACCCATAAAAATTTCAATAAACTTGAACTTTTAATAGACTTTTCAATTAAAAAAAAACCATAGAAACAACTGTTTTCAGTTTAGGTTGTTGGAGATGCAGTGAAACAAATATTCTAATTAAACACATTCCATTTTGGTCAGAAGGAATTACATGTACTCGTTTGGTGTAGTGGTTAAGGTGCTGGCCTAGAAAACAGAAGGTGGTGAGTTCTAATCCTGCTGTAGGTAAGAAAGGCAGCTGGGTGAACTTGGGTTAATCTCCAGGAAACTGTGAGTTCTAGTCTTGCATGAAAGCCAGCTGGGTGACTTTGGGCCAATCACCAGGAGACTGTGAGTTCTAGTCCCGCTTTTAGGCATGAAAGCTGGTTGGATGACTTTGGGCCAATCACCAGGAGATGGTGAGTTCTAGTCCCGCCTTAGGCATGAAAGTTAATTGGGTGACTTTGGGCCAATCACCAGGAGACGATGAGTTCTAGTCCCACCTTAGGCATCAAAACCGACTGGGTGACTTTGGGCCAATCACTAGGAAACAGTGAGTTTTAGTCCCACCTTGAGCAGAAAAGCTGACTGGCGGAGTTTGGGCGATTTTACCAGATCCTTAGGAAGAGATTTTAGGACTCTAAAATTCCTTGCATTTCATCCTTCTAGTTAGATGTGGCTTTGTGTTACATTTTTGTGCCTAAGGCGGAACTAAACTCACAGTCTCCTGGTAATTGATGCAAAGTCACCCAGTCGGTTTTGATGCCTAAGGTGGGACTAGAACTCAGCGTCTCCTGGTGATTGGTCCAAAGTCACCCAATTAACTTTCATGCCTAAGGTGGGACTAGAACTCACCGTCTCCTAGTGATTGGCCCAAAGTCACCCAATTAGCTTTCATGCCTAAGGTGGGACTAGAACTCACCGTCTCCTGGTGATTGGCCCAAAGTCACCCAATTAGCTTTCATGCCTAAGGTGNTCTCCTGGTGATTGGCCCAAAGTCACCCAATTGGCTTTCATGCCTAAGGTGGGACTAGAACTCACCGTCTCCTAGTGATTGGTCCAAAGTCACCCAATTAGCTTTCATGCCTAAGGTGGGACTAGAACTCACCGTCTCCTAGTGATTGGTCCAAAGTCACCCAATTAGCTTTCATGCCTAAGGTGGGACTAGAACTCACCATCTCCTGGTGATTGGCCCAAAGTCACCCAATTAGCTTTCATGCCTAAGGTGGGACTAAAACTCACTGTCTCCTGGTGACTGGTTCAAAGTTACCCAGCTGGCTTTCATGCCTAAGGCAGTACTAGAACTCACTCTCTCCTGGTTTCTAGCCTGGTGCCTTCACTATTAGACCAAACTGGCTCTCTAGTTGAGTTTGTCACTCAAACTGCCAGAGTTTCCACTCAACTGAATTTAGGCCAATTGTCCCGTGCCCACATGTTTTGTCTGCGGTTCGGTGTGGGATGGTTACAAAGCTTTCAGAACTGGATCATACCTTTCGGTGAGGGCCAGGTGAGCTCGGCTGAAAGTCCAAAGCCAGGTAATCAACACTGGTGCTGCTCTTCTTTTGGGCCGGACTGCTTTTCCCACTTGGAATGGGAGATGCAGAAACTGGGTTTTGCTAAAATTAAAGCCGTTAGGAGCAATCAGTAAAGCAACAGCAAAAGGCCCATTCAAGCAATTAGTCAGAATCTGCATAAAAGGTTAATTTCCCTAACTTCTGCAAGAGATTAGGTTCCCTTCCCCATTAATTCAGACCAAAAGGCCCTTTGTGTAGAAATTCAGTATAAGTATAAAAGATGCATTTATATACAGGTAGTCCTCGACTTACGACCACAATTGAGCCCCAACATTTCTGTTGCTAAACAAGACGGTTGTTAGGTGAGTTTTGACCTGTTTTTATGACTTTTCTTGCCACAGTTGTTAAATAAATCACTGCAGTCGTTCGAGAATCCATTTGGAGAATTCAAATAAAACGCCAGATTCATTCCGTTTCTGAAATTCTTACCGTTTATTGGATACATAGCTCGGTTATGTCGAAGCAAAACTAACTCTGAGGTTCCCACACCAAGTCATAGACTTAAACAATAGTTTTCCCCAGCCAAACCCCCAACGTCTTACGTAATCTGTTATCAACAAGTCCACTTTGTTATGGGAACCGTCTGCTTCAAATCCACACCTGTTCGGGTGTCCTTGAAAAGGTTTCAGGCTCCTACGGTCTGCAGCTGAATCGGAGAAGTTTCGTTTCTCCATCTACCCACTTGAAAGTAACACCTCCCCCCCTTAACCTAAAGGCAAGTTGAAATGCAGAGACACGTAGCTGCTAAAGTTTCATCCTTGACAGTTAAGTTAGTAACAAGGTTGTTACGCAAATTGGGCTCCCCTCTTGACTTGTCAAAGGTCGCAAAAGCCACTTGCCAAGTGTCCAAATTTTAATCACGTGACCATGTGGAGGCTAGAATGATCGTTAAGGCTGAAAAACCATCCGACTCACTTTTTTCAGTAACTTATAAGTCACTTTTTTTAATAACTTTGAACAGTCACTAAACAAATGGTTGTAAGTTCGAGCGTGTGCAAGCTATTGTCTTATTTCCAGATGCCGACAGAATCTTAACGGTAAGATTTTCTCTTCCTTTATTCGGTTGTCTGTGAGTCCTGAGTCCTGTGTCAAAATTTTGAAACCAGATTTTAGAGCCTTTAAGAATAAATATGGGCCATCTTCAATTTACAATCATTCATTTGGTGACCATTCAAAGTTACAAAACAACTTCGAAAAAAGGGACTTAGGGCTGTTTTTCACAGCTATGACTGTTGCAGCCTCCCTGTGGTCACATGATCAAAGTTCGGAGGCTTGGCAACTGGCATGTATTTGTGACGGTTTGCAGTGTCCCGGGATCACGTGATCCCTTTTTGCGACCTTCTGACAAGCAAAGTGTCCTGGTTCTGACAGATGAAACTCTTCAAAGCACTTTGAGGCATTGTTTACCTTAAAGAATCTTTATTTGAGTAGCACAGTATTGGCACTGCATAATTGAAGCCATAATCTGAGTTCCCCTCCCCTGAGCACATAGTATCAAAGCACAATTCCCTCCTCCAGTTAACAGTCCTAAATCACATTCTCCAATTAGTTTGAAATGCAGGCTTCCCCTCCAGTTCTCCAGCCCGCCAATTCTTATCATCTCTTATTACAATAACCTTGGTTCTCACACTAGGTTCAGTATTGTTATGTCTAGCTGAAATCTCGTGCACATTCCTCTCCCCCCAGCATCAGCTAACTTTAACTCTAATTCTAAGAGTAAAACTAAGAAAAAAAGGGTTGCATCTCCATCTGTTGTCAAAGCAAAAACATCCGATGTTAGCAGCCTGGACACAAAGTCAATGGGGAAGCAGATTCATTTAGTGACCGGGTTACTAATTTAACAACTGCGGTGTTTCTCTTAAGAAATGGGGCAGAAACGGTCGTGAAATGGGGCAAAACTCACTGAAGAACTGTCTCACTTAGAAACAGAAACGTTGGGCTCAACTGTGGTCATAAGTTGAGGATGACCTGTAACTTAAAACCAGAGCATCCAACTTTGGCAACTTTAAAGTCTTTAAAGATATCCTCAGATAGGATATCTGGGATTAATTGCCTCTTCCTCCTTGGGAATGTTCCCCCCTCACTACAATCCATCAGAGTAGATATGGGAGAGAAGCTCAAAGAGAAAGAAGCATTTATAAAAACTTACCATGGCCACATAATTTTCTTCACTATCTCCTGAGTCGGTGCTGGTGATACTTTGTGTAGAGGTGGGACGACAATATTGAGAAAAGTTGGAATTGAAGGTCTGGCTAAAACGAGAGCATCCAGAGGAGAAGTTATAACAAGTCACGAGGGTTTTATCTGGCAAGCTTGGAGCAGATGGACAGACCTAAGCATAATTTCAGTGGGGAAGCTGTGAGCATCTTGGACCAAGTCAAGTCCCAAAATGATAGTAGAGAATTCCTGGAAGCCTGGCAGATAAATCGGCCATCAACCGGCACATTGAGATAAACAACATCTACATGCCATTCAAAAGGGACAATCAAAGGAAGCAAACAGAATAACAGAATAGCAGCGCTGGAAGGGACCTTGGAGGTCTTCTAGTCCAACCCTCTGCTCAAGCAGGAAACCGTATACCGTTTCAGACAGGTGGTTGTCCAATCTCTTCTTAAAAAAGAGACCAAAACACTTCCTCACCAGCAATCGACACCCAGATGAGCAGAGATTAACACCAAGATTAACACTAGACCAGGGGTGTCAAACTCGCAACGTCACATGACGTGTCGCGACATATCTTGACTTTTTTCCCCATTGCCGGCAATGGGATGGGCACGGTTTCGCTGTGGCGCATCTGGCCCGTGGGCCGGCAGTTTGACACCCTTGCACTAGACCAGGGGTAGGCAACCTTGGCTCTTTTATGACTCGTGGACTTCAACTCCCAGAATTCCTGAGCCCGCATGGCTCAGCTTGGAAACCTCTCCCTTTCCCCTCAGCATGGCTGGCTCAGGAATTCTGGGAGTTGAAGTCCACAAGTCATAAAAGAGCCAAGGTTGAATATCCCTGGTCTACAGTAGGAGGCTCACCGCTTAGAACAGGAGGACTTAGGACAAGGGTAGGCAACCTTGGCTCTTTTATGACTCGTGGACTTCAACTCCCAGAATTCCTGAGCCCGCATGGCTCAGCTTGGAAACCTCTCCCTTTCCCCTCAGCATGGCTGGCTCAGGAATTCTGGGAGTTGAAGTCCACGAGTCATAAAAGAGCCAAGGTTGCCTACCCCTGGACTAGAAGATCTCCAAGGTCCCTTCCAACTCAATTGCGCTGTCTTTTGAAGCGATGGGGTTGGCTTCCGATTTTATACTAAGCTATACAGGGGAATTGTTTGGGCCTGCCTTAGGATGATGTGTGAACTCAACCCTGTGGTTTTGCAAATGCTGGGCCTAAATGTCTGAGCTGGTGGAAAGTGGGTGACTCAACAACTGTGACCTCACCAAGAGACAAATCCATCTTTCTCCTCCCAGACAATGAATTTATAATCTGAATTAGGGCATGACAAATTGTCTGTGGCCTAACAGACAGCTCCATTCAACTGTTAAGGGATGGATTCCTAACTCAGCCCCAGGGGAAAAATGCTATATGTTAGAAGGGTCAGGGGCTGTTTTAGCATTAAGGGGAAGAGGTGGGCCGTGCTTTGACCCAAATGTGCTTTGAGGAATCTGGCAGACCCAGGCCCTGTATTCTTAAAACACCTGTGTATATTCCCCAGAATTGTGCAGTTACTCTTTGCTGCGACGGCACAATCCCAGGAAAAGATTCCCGCCATTTTTTAAGGAGTGGCAGAATTAGCTGTAAACACCATAAAAGCACCTTTGGAGTCTGAAAAAGTGCACAGCCCTGTGTGTGTGTGTGTGGGGGGGGAATATTTCCTAAGTGTTTAGGACAGGGGTCTTCACACTTGGCCCTTTTATGACTTGTGGAATTCAACTTCCAGAATTCCTGAGCCAACAGGGGGGAACTGTGGCCCCTTCGTGACTTGTGGACTTCAACTCCCAGAATTCCTCAGCCAACATGGGGGAACTATGGCCCTTTTATGACTTGGGGACGTCAACTCCCAGAATTCCTCAGCCAACATGGGGGAACTATGGCCCCTTCATGACTTGGGGATTTCAACTCCCAGAATTCCTCAGCCAGCATGGGGGAACTATGGCCTCTTCATGACTTGGGGACTTCAACTCCCAGAATTCCTCAGCCAGCATAGGGGAACTATGGCCCCTTCATGACTTGGGGACTTCAACTCCCAGAATTCCTGAGCCAGCATGGGGGAACTATGGCCCCTTCATGACTTGGGGATTTCAACTCCCAGAATTCCTCAGCCAGCGTGCCTGGCTGAGGAATTCTGGGAGTTGAAGTCCACAAGTCATAAAAGGGCCAAGTTGAAGACCCCTGGTTTAGGAAGTGTTTTTCAACCTTGCTGGCTTTAAGATGGGTGGACTTCAACTCCCAGAATTCCTCAGCCAACAACTGTGTCTGCAGTGATTCACTTAACAACTGCAGTAAGAAAGGTCGTAAAATGGGGCAAAACTCACTTAACAATGGTCATGCTTAGCAAATTAGTCAAGGACTACCCTGTATATATAATTCAAGCAGGAGAACGTAGCTAATGTGCTTTCATCCTTCCATTTTCCTCACAACAACCCTAGGAGGTGGCTTGGGCTGAGAGAGAAAGTGTCCGGCCCTAAGTCACTCAGTCTGTTTTTCATGCCTAAGGCGGGACTAGAACTCACCGTCTCCTGGTGATTGGCCCAAAGTCACCCAGCCAGCTTTCATGCCTAAAGCGGGACTAGAACTCACCGTCTCCTGGTGATTGGCCCAAAGTCACCCAGCCAGCTTTCATGCCTAAAGCGGGACTAGAACTCACCGTCTCCTGGTATTTGGATCAAAGGTACCCAGCTGGCTTTCATGCCTAAGGTGGGACTAGAACTCACAGTGGCGCCTTATGCATGATATTGTTTCATTCTTCCAATTCCCCCCAAAATAACAACCTTGTGAGGTGCACTGGGCTGTAAATCACTCAGCCTTTTTTTCATGCATAAAATGGGACTAGAACTCACCGTCTCCTGGTGATGGGCCCAAAGTCACCCAGTTGGATTTGATGCCTAAGGACTAGAACTCACAGTCTCTGCTGATTGGCCCAATGTAACCCAGCTGGCTTTGATGCCTAAGGCAGGACTAGAACTCACAGTCTCCTGGTGAGGGGCCCAAAGTGACCCAGCTGACTTACATGCCTAAGGCGGGACTAGAACTCACCGTCTCCTGGTTTTCCAATAATCATTAAACCAAACTGGCTCTTTCAAAAACGAGGCAGTGTTATACTCACCCGGGTCTAGACCACGATTTTGTGACTGGCGATTTAAAGGGCAGTTCATCAATGACTGAATTGCCCCTTAGGTCAAGGGGGGTCGGTTTAGCTGGACGAGAAAGAGAATCAGAGTTAGGCTGGAGAGCTGCTAGAGGCTCCATTGAGCTGAAATGATTAAAAGTATAATATTTCCCACAGGCATCAAATGGAACACAGCTTTGAGGTCCCTTGTGGCTTTCTGTGGTTTGTATATGGTCTCCATCTTCCTTGGGGTGATTTGCCCACCATGACAGTAAACAGGCAAAATCCGCAGGGCGAGACTAAACAAATTTCATATTTTTGTTGCTATATTTGTCTGTCAAACTGAAAGTAGGTACAGACTTACAACTGATCGCTTAGCGACCGTTCAGTGTTTGCAACAGACCTCCGAAAGGCTACTTACGACCCAAATTCAAAGGGGCAACAGCCACGCCCCTCCTGTGGTCATATCATCGCTATCTACTTTCAGTTTGATGGATCAATAAAATCAGGAGAAGACCCATGGATTCTTAGGATTCTTAGCACAACTCCAACTATCCATGCATTCATCCATCTATCCATCCATCCATCCTCCACCCAACTAACCATCACCCACCTCTCTCTCCATCTTTCTTTCCATCCTCCATCCATCCTCCATTCATCATCCACTCCTAGATCCACCCAACTTTCTTTTCATTATCCATTCATTCTCCATTCATCACCATTCCTCCATCCATCCATCTTTCTTTTCATCATCCATCTATCCATCTATCCATCCATCCATCCATTCATCCATCTTTTCCCGTATCCACCCACCCATCCTTCTTTTCATTATACACCCTTTCTTCCACTCGTCCTTCTTTTCATCATCCACCCATCCTTCCACCTATCCTTCCTTTCATCATCCATCCATCTATCCTCCACCCATCACCCATCCCTCTCTCCATCTTCCTTTTCATCATCTATCCATCCTCCATTCTTCATCTATTCTTCCATCCATCCATCTTTTCATCATCCACCCATCCATTTTTTCCAGCATCCATCCATCCATCCTTCCTTTCATCCATCTATCCACCCATCCTTTCTTTCATCATCCATCCATCCATCCACCCACCCATTCTCTTCATCATCCATCCTCCACCCAACCATCACCCACCCCTCTCTCCATCTTCCTTTTCATCATCCATCCACCCTCCATTCTCCATACTCCTCCTTCATCTATCCATCTTTTCCAGCATCTACCCATCCATTCATCTTTTCATTATCCATCTATCCACCCATCCTTCCTTTCATCATCCATCCATCACCCAACCATCACCCACCCCTCTCTCCATCTTCCTTTTCATCATCCATCCATCCATCCTCCATTCTCCATACTCCTCCTTCTTCTATCCATCTTTTCCAGCATCTACCCATCCATTCATCTTTTCATTATCCATCTATCCACCCATCCTTCCTTTCATCATCCATCCATCACCCAACCATCACCCACCCCTCTCCATCTTCCTTTTCATCATCCATCCATCCTCCATTCATCATCCACTTCTCCATCCATCCGTTTCTTTTCATCATCCATTCATCCATCTTTTCCAGCATCCTTCCATCCATCCATCTTTTCATTATCCATCCATCCATCCATCCATCCATCCATCCATCCATCCATCCATCCATTCTTTTCATCATCCATCCTCCACCCACCCACCCAACCATCACCAACCCCTCTCCACCTTCCTTTTCATCATCCATCCATCCTCCATTCATCATCTACTCCTCCACCCATCCATCTTTTTTTTCATCATACACTCATCCATCCATCTTTTCCTTCCTTCCTTCCTTCCTTCCTTCCTTCCTTCCTTCCTTCCTTCCTTCCTTCCTTCCTTCCATCCATCCATCCATCCATCCATCCATCCATCTTTTCATTATCCATCTATCCACCCATCCTTCCTTTCATCCTCCATCCAACCATCACCCACGCCTCTGTCCATCGTCCTTTTCATCATCCATCCTCCATCCATCATCCACTCCTCCATCCATCCATCTTTCTTTTCATCATACACCCATCCATCCATCCATCCATCCATCCTTTCAAAAGAGCGCCCTGGCCCACCCCCTTCTTGTTGCAAATCTTCACCTTTTCGATCTGGTTTCAGGTTGCGGTTGATGGGCGGGGGCTGGATTTCACTCATCCGCCTGGAGGGCTGGGAGCTGCCGCCGCCTTTCTGCGCTGGGAAGGTGGCCGAGGCGTGGCCCATCAGGTCCAGGTGATGTGGCCCAGGGCTCATTGGGATGTAGAGGTGCTGGGAGCTGTCACTGGAGCCCTCCGCGCTCTGCGGGAGGGAAGACCCTGGATTCATGGGCACGTAGTTGTCTTCGGAGTCCGTGCTGTGGGAGCGAGCCACGGCAGTTTTGTTCTGCTGGGACAGAAAGTAAAAGTTGAGTCAGAAGAGGGAAAGTAGGAAAACATTCCATCCCTAGGGCTGTAAGGCAGCCTGAATTTCAACTCTGCTTGATGAAGACAGGTTTCTAGTCCTTAAGACTCTAGACCAGTGGTTCTCAACCTTTTTAATGCCGCGACCCCAACCGGTCGTAAGTCGAGGACTAAACCAGTCGTAAGTCAAGGACTAAACCGGTCGTAAGTCGAGGACTACCCAACCGGTCGTAAGTCGAGGACTTTCCCTGCCCGGGAGCGCCGCACATGCGTGGTTCCGCCCCCTGCGCCGGCCGAGGCATAGCTGGCAAGCGGCAGAGACGGAGCAGGCCGACCACCAGCTGGCCCAGCCCAAGGGAGGTAAGGCACCCGCCGGAAAAGGGGAAAAAAATGGCGGACAAAAAAAATGGCGGACAAATAAATGGCGGACAGCCTTGCTTTGGCGACCCCCGTGAAATGGTCGATCGACCCCAAATGGGGTCCTGACCCACAGGTTGAGAACCGCTGCTCTAGACAATACCTTGGAAAGTCCTGGAGAAAGACATGATTGCTCTCAGTAAGGGCAAAGGGAGGACAAGAGAATTCTATGAGGTTGTTAACATATATCAGCCAATAATTATTTATTTACTTTAATTGTGGATGACCCTCGTGATTCATCGGCTATATCAGCTGGCAGCCCACTCAACTTGCCGTGGACTTCCTTTGTTTTCCTTGAAGACGTTTCGCTTGTCATCCAAGAAGCTTCTTCAGTTCATGGAAGGGACTGAAGAAGCTTTTTGGATGGCAAGCAAAATGTCTTCAAAGAAAGTCCAGTTGCCTTTAAAAAACAAAAAAGCACTTTTGGGATTAATGCAGCATTGAATTGTCCCATAACAAGTTGGTCATGATGAGTTGTCCTAGACTTCTCACCCTGTCACCAAACTAGAAGGTTGGTGAGGAACATTTAGGTTTTAAACCAGGGGTAGGCAACCTTGGCCCCTTTATGACTCGTGGACTTCAACTCCCAGAATTCCTGAGCCAGCATGGCTCAGCTTGGAAACCTCTCCCTTTCCCCTCAGTGTGGCTGGCTCAGGAATTCTGGGAGTTGAAGTCCACGAGTCGTAAAAGAGCCAAGCTTGCCTACCCCTGGATAGGGCAGGGGTAGGAAACCTTGGCCCCTTCATGACTTGTGGACTTCAACTCCCAGAATTCCTGAGCCAGCATGGGGGAAACTTTGGCCCCTTCATGACTTGTGGACTTCAACTCCCAGAATTCCTGAGCCAGCATGGGGGAACTATGACCCCTTCGTGACTTGTGGACTTCAACTCCCAGAATTCCTGAGCCAGCATGGCTCAGCTTGGAAACCTCTCCCTTTCCCCTCAGCATGGCTGGCTCAGGAATTCTGGGAGTTGAAGTCCACGAGTCATAAAAGAGCCAAGGTTGCCTCCCCCTGCTTTAAACCAGGCAGAATCAACCTATCTCTAAGGAATATTTCCCACCTGGGAAGTTCTAGAGATGATTCTCCAGATGCCTTCATCAAACCGAGGCAAGGAGTTTCTGAAGAGGCCTCACTTATGAAATGCCTTTCTCTGGAAAATCTACCCAACCACTAAGACAGATCATTTTTCATCACCAGCCGGAGACGTTCCACTTCCCCCAGGCAGAACTGATTTACATTGCTTGTCACTTGAACGGACAACAGTAATTGCAGGAGAAATTGCTCCACCGAATTCTGTGTTGATCAGCTCCAGTTCCAATATTGTCATCAGGGCCAAAGGCTTTCCAGCAGTGTGCAGTCCTCCAAACGGCTTTCCTGAAGATGTACAGAAGAACCGACAAGCAACTTGTCCCAAAGGTGTTTTTTCAAATGACAACTGGAGTTTCTTGTTTTTTTCCTTGAAAATGTTTTGCTTCTCACTCAAGAAAGTGTTGTTGTTGTTGTTGTTGTTGTTGTTGTTTCTTCTTCTTCTTCTTCTTCTTCTTCTTCTTCTTCTTCTTCTTCTTCTTCTTCTTCTTCTTCTTCTTCTTCTTCTCCTCCTCCTCCTCCTCCTGCTTTCCATCTTCCTCCTGTCTCAATTAACTGTTCTCCTCCTCTACTCCTCCTCCTCTTCCTCCTCTTCTTCCTTCTGCTTTCCTTCTTCCTCCTGTCTCAATTAACTTTTCTCCTCCTCTCCTCCTCCTCCTCCTCTTCCTTCTGCTTTTTCTTCCTCCTGTCTCAATTAACCTTTCTCCTCCTCTACTCCTCCTCCTTCTTCTCCTCCTCTTCCTCTTGTTCCTTCTGCTTTCCTTCTTCCTCTTGTCTCAATTAACTTTTCTCCTCCTCTACTCCTCCTCCTCCTTCTCTTCCTCCTCTTCTTCCTTCTGCTTTCCTTCTTCCTCCTGTCTCAATTAACTTTTCTCCTCTCCTCCTCCTCCTCCTCCTCCTCCTCTTCCTTCTGCTTTCCTTCTTCCTCCTGTCTCAATTTTCCTCCTCCTCCTCCTCCTCCTCCTCCTCCTCCTCCTCCTCCTCCTCCTGAAACTTTTTCAAGGGAAAAAAACCCAAAAAAGTCCAGTTGCCTTTTGAAAAAAAAAATTACTTTGGGATAACCATGACCTGGATGACTAAGAATCTCCATAGACCTTTAACAAGCCACTTGAGAGGTTTCTTGAAGCCCCACAAAGCTCACCAGATAGGAACTGGGTCCAACATTTGCAGACTCTGCTGATGGTCCTGTGCTGCTGACGCTGGGCTGGGGATATTCATAGGCTTCGCAGGAAGAAGCTGGAATCGAAAGCACAAAAATAAAACAAGAAGAAGCAGGAGAACAAGTCAACACCTCAAATGCAGCGTTAGAGATCAGCGGTCAGTTTCATCAGTGTTTCTCAAACCTTGGCAAGTTGAAGACATCTGGCTGGCTGGGGGATTCTGGGAGTTGAGGTCCAGACACTGTCAAGTTGCCAAGGCTGAGGAACACCGCTCCAATGTCACACCCCCATTCTTCATATAGGTTGGGGCTGCCAATAGGAGGAATGCTGGGAAAAAGCCCCTTGCTAAAATAATCTTCTGATGGAAAACAAGCAGAAGTTTGCTCTGGTGGGTGAGGTAGACATGACTGGGAAAAAGATGGCCTTTCAAATAATCTGGCCCCAGGTCTAGATTAGATTAGATTAGATTAGATTAGATTAGAATAGAATAGAATAAAATAGAATAAAATAGAATAAAATAGAATAGATGGGGATCGGAATAGAATAGAATAGAATAGAATAGAGAAAAGGAATAGAATAGAATAGAATAGAATAGAATAGAATAGAATAGAATAGAATAGATGGGGATCAGAATAGAATAGAATAGAATAGAATAGAATAGATGGGGATCGGAATAGAATAGAATAGAATAGAATAGAATAGAATAGAATAGAATAGAATAGAATAGAATAGAATAGAATGGGGATGGGAATAGCATAGCATAGCATAGAATAGAATATTAATAGAGTTGGAAGGAACCTTGGAGGTCTTCTAGTCCAACCCCCTGCTCTGGCAGGAAACCCCATACCATTTCATACAAATGGTTGTCCAATCACATCTTAAACACTTTCAGTGTTGGAGCACCCACAACTTCTGGAGGCAAGGAGTTCCACTGATTAATTGTTCTCACTGTCAGGAAATTTCTCCTTAGTTCTAGGCTGCTTCTCTCCTGGATTAATTTCCATCCGTTGCTTCTTGTCCTGCTCTCAGGTGCTTTGGCGAATAGCTTGACTCTTCTTCATGGCAGCCCCCTAGATATTGGAACACTGCTATCATGTCACCCCAAGTCCTTCTTTTTATTAAAGTAGACACACCCAATTCCAGCAACCGTTCCTTATACTTTTAAGACTCTAGTCCCCCAATTATCTGAAGGACCATCTTTTTCCAGTCATGTCTACTCGACCCACCAGAGCAGGGAGGCAGGGGATGTTATGGTTCCCCTCTCTTAAGGAGCTCCATCTGGTGGGACCAAGAAGAAGGGCCTTCTCCGTGGTGGCTCCCTCCCTGTGGAACATCTTCCCTGCAGAGATAACATTGACTTTTTTTGAAAGGCCTGGAACACCAAGTTCTGCCACCAGAACCCCATGGTGATACAGAGGCCATCAAATGTTTGGTGTGATTGTTGTCACCAGGAAGTGGAGGATATTTTTTTTATTGCGATAAGCTGCCTGGAGTCACCATGAGTGAGTTGGATGGCCATATAAATGTTCTAAATGAATGAATGAATGAATGAATGAATGAATGAACAAACTGTGTGTGTTTGTAGGATATGACCCTAATAAAGTATAGGTAGTCCTCGACTTAGGACCAAATTGAGCCCAACATTTCTGTTGCTGAGTGAGACAGTTGTTCGATGAGTTTTGACTCACTTTGCGACCTTGCCAGCCACGGTGGTTAAGTGAATCACTGCACTTGTTAAGTTAGTAACACAGTTATTAGGGAATCTGGCTTCCCCACTGACTTTACTGGCCAGAAGGTCACAAAAGGGGATCACACAACCCCGGGAAACAAACAGTCATAAGTACCTGCCAGTTGCCGAGTGTCTGAATTTTTATCATGTGACCGTGGGGAGGCTGCAACTGTCGTAAGTGTGAAAAACGGCCCTACTGTCATTTTTTTCACTGTTGTTGCAACTTTGAACAGTCACTAAAGGAATGGTTTTAAGTCGAGGACTAACTGTACTCCAAAAACAATGCATCAGCCCTCTGGGTTGTTTGGGGGAGGCTGTCTGTGCTGAGACAGTGCATAGGCCAGGGGTAGGCAACCTTGGCTCTTTTATGACTCGTGGACTTCAACTCCCAGAATTCCTGAGACAGCATGGGGGAACTATGGCCCCTTCATGACTTGTGGACTTCAACTCCCAGAATTCCTGAGCCAGCATGGGGGAAATATGGCCCCTTCATGACTTGTGGACTTCAACTCCCAGAATTCCTCAGCCAGCATGGGAGAACTATGGCCCCTTCATGACTTGTGGACTTCAATTCCCAGAATTCCTCAGCCAGCACGAGGGAAACTTTGGCCCTTTCATGGACTTGTGGACTTCAACTCCCAGAATTCCTCAGCCAGCATGGGGGAACTATGGCCCCTTCATGACTCGTGGACTTCAACTCACAGAATTCCTGAGCCAGCATGGNAGCCAGCACGAGGGAAACTTTGGCCCTTTCATGGACTTGTGGACTTCAACTCCCAGAATTCCTCAGCCAGCATGGGGGAACTATGGCCCCTTCATGACTCGTGGACTTCAACTCCCAGAATTCCTGAGCCAGCATGGGGGAACTATGGCCCCTTCATGACTCGTGGACTTCAACTCCCAGAATTCCTGAGCCAGCATGGGGGAACTATGGCCCTTTCATGACTCGTGGACTTCAACTCCCAGAATTCCTGAGCCAGCATGGCTCAGTTTGGAAACCTCTCCCTTTCCCCTCAGCATGGCTGGCTCAGGAATTCTGGGAGTTGAAGTCCACGAGTCATAAAAGAGCCAAGGTTGCCTACCCCTGGCATAAGCGATCCTAACCTATTTTGTAGGCACCAAATCCAACAGAATAACAGAGTTGGAAGGGACCTTGGAGGTCATCTAGTCCAGGGGCCCCCAAACTGTGGGCTGCAACCTGGAAGTGGGCTGTGGCCTGCTGGCCACCGGGCCGTGGGACAGGCTGGTCAGCGCTCGCGCATCCGTGTGCACACCCCCTCACTTGTGTTAGCGCTGCAGCCGCGGGGCGCAAAAACAGTATGCTATGCCAAGGGGCGCAAAAATGGGCCGCTGCCACACCACAGGGCACAAAAACAGGGCACTGACGTACCACGGGATGCAAAAACGGGACACTGCCGTGCTGCAAGGAGCAAAAACGGATACCGCCGCACCGCAGGGTGTGGAAATGGGGTGCTGCCGCCTTGTGGGGTGCAAAAATGGCCGCCACTGTGCCGTAGGACACAGAAACAAGACGCTGTGCCACGCAAGAATGGAGTAATGAGTACCACGCGGGTGCTAGCTCCACCCCATTTGTGTTGCGTGCATGATTGTGGCCCTGTGCGCACGTGTCAAATGCTTCCCCCTCCCTTTTCCTCCGGTCCGCCAACCGACAAAGGTTGGTGACCTCTGATCTAGTCCAACCCCCTGCTCAAGCAGGAAACCCTATGACAGTGGTGGCGAATCTTTTAGAGACCGAGTGCTCAAACTGCAACCCAAAACCCACTTATTTATCGCAAAGTGCCAGGGCTGCAGCAGCATTGTGGTGCCCTCAGTGGGGGGGCGGGGTGTGTGGCCCACTGGGTGGGCGTGGCTGCAGTGGTCACGGCAGACTGGGTGAGCGTGGCTGGGGCCAGTCCCTCGCCATCTACGGGACATCCCCGGGGGGTCAACGCCACTTGCTCGCTCACTTCCTGCCCTGTCACTTCCAAACGCCATGTGCTCGCTACTCTGGCGAACTCTGCTGGGGCAACGGCACGCGTGCCCACAGAGAGGGCTCTGAGTGCCGCCCCTGGCACGCGTGCCATAGGTTCGCTACCACTGGACGATGAAAAATGGCTGTCCAGACTCTTCTTGAAAACCTCCAGAGATTGGCGCTACCTCGGTGTAACCGGCAGTTCTCCACTGCTGGCAGCGTGTTCCTTCGGGGAATGGTGGTAACTACTGGGCTCGCACTGAGGCCTTCGCCGTCCATCAGGCGTTGTTGGGGGCTGCCCCAGCGGGATTCGGCCTGCCCCGGCTTGGGAGGTCTCGGCGGAGGCACTGCCCCCGTGTCACTCGAAGCCACTGCCAAGGCGTTGTGGTTCTTGTCGAGCGTGAAGGTCCGTGGAATCTGGTAAATGGAGACAGGGGTGCCAGGAACGTCGTAGGAGTCGGTGGAAAGTTCCCCGAACTCTTTGCAAAGGGTGCTGTTGGGGGTCTTGAAGGTGTAGACCTCCTCGCTATCCGACGTCTCCGAGCCGGTGAGGCTCGACTTGGTGTAGGCGTAGCAGCCAAAGCTCCTGGGCAAGTCGTAAGCGCTGTCCCTCAGCTCCGAGTTGTGCCGGCTTGGTTTGGGCAAACTGTAGAAACCGTGGACTTGCCCGCCCCCCACCCCGTTGACGCAGTGGCCGTTCTCCTGAGACGCCTTCTGAACCGAGGGGTCGCTCCTCATGAAGAAGCGGGTGGCTTGAGAGAAGCTGGCGCTCCTAACAAGGAAAGAAGAAGAGGAAGAAGGATTACTGCGTTGACCGCGAGAGCCAGGGGCTAAGGCAGCAGACTAGAAAGCAGGAGACCCCGAGTTCAAGTCCCACCTTAGCCGGGACGGCTGGTTGGGGGACACTGGGCCAATCACCAGGAGATGGTGAGTTCTAGTTCTGACATAGCCATGAAAGCCAGCTGGGTGACTTTGGGCCAATCACCAGGTGATAGTGAGTTCTAGTCCTGCCTTAGGCATGAAAGCCAGCTAGGTGACTCTGGGCCAATCACCAGGTGATGGGGAATTCTAGTCCCGCCTTAGCCATGAAAGCCAGATGGGTGACTTTGGGCCAATCACCAGGTGATGGTGAGTTGCAGTCCCGCCTTAGCCATCAAAGCCAGCTGGGTGACTTTAAGCCAATTACCAGGTGATGGTGAGTTCTAGTCCCACCTTAGGCATGAAAGCCGGTTGAGTGACTATGCACCAATCATCTGGAGATGGTGAGTTCTAGTCCCGCCTTAGGCAGGAAAGCCGATTGGGTGACTTTGGCCCAATCACCAGGAGATGGGGAATTCTAGTCCCGTTTAAGCATGAAAGCTGACTGGATGATTTTGTGCCAATCACCTAGAGATGGTGAGTTCTAGTCCCACCTTAGGCATGAAAGCCAGTTTAGTGACTTTGCGCCAATCACCTGGAGATGGTGAGTTCTAGTCCCACCTTAGGCATGAAAGATGACTGGGTGACTTTGGCCCAATCACCAGGAGACGATGAATTCTAGCTCCGCCTTAGGCATGAAAACGAACTGGGTGACCTTTGGACAAATCACCAGGTGATTCCCCAGGATGATTAGGGTTAGGGATTAGGGTTAGGGTTTAGAGTTAGGGTTAGGGCAGGGGTAGGCAACCTTGGGTCTTTTATGACTCGTGGACTTCAACTCCCAGCATAGCCGGCTCAGGAATTCTGGGAGTTGAAGTCCACGAGTCATGAAAGAGCCAAGGTTGCCTACCCCTGGGTTAGGGGTTAGAGGTAAGAGCTAGGGTTTAGCTTTAGTGTTAGGGGTTAGGGTTAGGGTTAGGTACTGGTGATGGAGAGGCGAGAGTTTCACATATGCACCGCTGCTGGCGCAAACGGAGCTTCATGCGCTTGTGCGCTCACCCGCTGCTTGTGCGGCCCGCTTTCTAACAGCCCATGGACCGGGAAGTCGGGGACCCCTGCTATAGATTAAAAAGAATGACTGGATGAACCCAGAATTACCTGGTATTTTCTGATTTCTGGCTCATGCATTGGTGTAGAAAGAGATAATCCTGAGGAGCGCTGGTGGAAAGCGTGGTCCGGATATGGCTAGACGGTGACTCAAAAGTGAAGAGGGTGGGCTGGCTTGAGTGCGAAGGAGCGGATGTCTTTCGTTCCCGCAGCAGCCGTGGGTTGGAGCCGCTGAGCTCGGCCGGGGACGAGCGGGGGCCGTGACTCACCAGAGGGACGTTTCGTAAAGAATCTGCCCAGGAAGAAAAAAACAACAACAACAGAGAAGTTGCTATCATCATTGACACGACTAAGTTGCGGTTTCATAATAATAATAATGATAAAGTTGGAAGGGAGCTTGGAGGTCATCTAGTCCAACCCCCTGCTCAGGCAGGAAACCCTATACCATTTTGGACAAATGGCTGTCCAGTTTCTTCTTAAAAACTTCCAGTGTTGGCACATTCACCGCTTCTGGAGGCAGGTTGTTCCACTGGTTAATTGTTCTAACTGTCAGGAAGTTTCTCCTTAGTTCTAGGTTGCTTCTCTCCTTGGTTAGTTTCCACCCGTTGCTCCTTGTCCTGCCTTCAGGCGCTTTGGAGAATAGCTTGACTCCCTCTTCGTTGGGGCAGCCCCTGAGATACTGGAACGCTGCTATCATGTCCCCACTCGTCCTTCTCTTCATTAAACTAGACATACCCAATTCCAGCAACCGTTCCTTATATATTTTAGCCTCCAGTCCCCTAATCATCTTTGTTGCTCTTCTCTGTACTCTTTCTAGAGTCTCCATATCTTGTTTACATCGTGGTGACCAAAACTGGACACTGTATTCCAAGACTGGCCTTACCAAGGCATTGTAAAGTGGTATTAATACTTCACGTGATCCTGATTCTATCCCTCTGTTAATGCAGCCCAGCACTGAGTTGGCTTTTTGGGCAGCTGCAGCACACGGCTGGCTCCTATTTAAATGATTGTCCACTAGGACAATTTATTTGGGTCTGTCCTTTCCTAAGGCTGAGATTTTATTGAATGTCTCTTTAAGTGCTCCAACACTGGAAGTTTTTAAGAAGAGACTGCACAGCCATTTGTCTGAAATGGTACAGGGTTTCCTGCCTGAGCAGGGGGTTGGACTAGAAGACCTCCCAGGTCCCTTCCAACTCTATTATTATTATCATCTTTTATTCATTAGACATGAACCTCAGTCAACTGAACATTCAAATTGGCTGGCGCTGATGGTTGACACGGGTTGCTACCAGCATCCTAGGTGTCAACCAGGTACCTGCTTAAAATGTAAGATCTTCCGAGTCGCACAGTTTTTGTAGCATTGCTGGAGTTATTGCAGGAAGCTGCAGTTTCTTGTGTATTGTGCAAAGTTTTGGGACATAGTTCCCAGTGCCCCAATGACAATGGGTACCACTGTTACACGTTTCATCCATAATCGCACAGTTTCGATGGCCAGGTTGCGATATTTTGTAATATTTTTCCATCTCTTCCAACTATTATTATTATTATTATTATTATTATTATTATTATTATTATTATTATTATTATTATTATTATTATTATTATCATTATTACTACTACTACTACTACTACTACTACTACTACTACTACGGAGGATCATTGCATAGTCAGCCAGATGTTCAGACTGGATTTGGTATTTTTGTCTACCTATCGAGTCCTTATCAAGGACCTGGGATAGGCAGATGTGGATGTTTGATGGTATTACAGATATCGTCGCAGGATGGAAGCAGTTCCTGGTAAGGCCGCCTTTTGCAATTGACTAAGCGAATTTGTCAATGCCGATGATGGTGTTCAAGTGGTGCTCCAGTTGTTTTGGGATTGCACCCAAGGCGCCTATTACTATTGGTACTACCCTTGCTTGCCTTTGCCACAGTCTTTCTATTTCTATTTGTAGGTGTTTGTATTTTGTTATCTTCTCCAGTTCTTTCTCGTCTATTCTGCTGTCTCCAGGCACTGCCACGTCCACTATCCAGACTTTTTTGTCTTTCTTATCGACAATTGTTAAGTCCGGGGTGTTATGTTGCAGGTGCTTGTCTGTTTGAATTCTGAAGTCCCAGAGCAGTTTAATTGTATCATTTTCTATGACTTTATTTTATGATCCCACCAGTTCTTGCTTACAGGCAAATGATATTATTGTTGTTGTTGTTGTTGTTATTATTATTATTATTATTATTATTATTATTATTATTATTATTATTATTATTATTATTATTATTATTATTATTATTATTATTATTATTATTATTATTAAATATTAGGCCACTGCTATCATGTCCCCCCCGGTCCTTCTCTTCATTAAACTAGACATACCCAATTCCTGCAACCATCTCCAATTAAAGCGGCATTAGTCAGCAGGAGATATGAGAAACTGCCAGAAAGATGCTGTCAGCCGAGTGGATTGTCTGTTTTTATCCAACTGGGCTCCTTCCCTTAAGGGACACGATTCAACAGCGTCTGGGATTCAGCTATGATGCAAAATCTAATGTCAAGTGTGCTTCCTGGAATCCACGCCTTCCCCCCCCCCTTTGCTATTTCTATTAAACTGAGAAAGGGATATTAATAAACCTTGCTGACTAATTTCTGCCTAGCTGCACCTCCAATCAATATTCAACTTTAGCTTTTATGATGTCAGCGGGAGATTAAAGGGGGGAGGGGAAATTATATTCTGTTTCCATAGCTCATGGTGAGGAACACACAGAGGCTTCAAGCTTCGCTTTCCGAAAAATAAAGCGAGTGCGTTATGCCGTAAGAATTTAAATAGCCTCATTTCATTCCTAGGTTTATTACTCTGTCCTGATAAAACTGTTATTTCAATACGTTTTTGAGCGTGGCAGATGTAAAAACGGTTTGGAACACTTAAATACGCTTCTCCGGGGTTCTAATCCTAGAGGCTTGTGGGAAGTCAGCCCTCCCCCCAGAGAAGGAAATATTAAAAGGGCAGAATATTATATTTCCTCAAAAGATCTTAAAGAGGTCCATAAAACTGGAAAGGTTGGAGACCACTGAACTAACTGATTGATATATATAAAAAAAATCTAAGCAGGGTGAAAAACCTAGTTAATATTTAGATGTTACAGCACTGAGTTTCCTTTCCTGGTAAAATAATAATAATAATAATAATAATAATAATAATAATAATAATAATAATAATAATAATAATAATAATAATAATAATAATAATAATAATAATAATAAAAAATAGAAAGATTGTGGCAAAAGCAAGCAAAGGTAGTACCAATAGTAATAGGCGCCTTGGGTGCAATCCCAAAACAACTGGAGCACCACTTGAACACCATTGGCATTGACAAATTCGCTATTAGTCAATTGCAAAAGGCAGCCTTACTAGGAACGGCTTCCATCCTGCGACGAGATCTGTAATACCATCAAACATCCACATCTGCCTATCCCAGGTCCTGGGTAAGGACTCGATAGGTAGACAAAATGCCAAATCCGGTCTGAACATCTGGCTGACTGTGCGATGATCCATAATAATAATAATAATAATAATAATAATAATAATAATAATAATAATAATAATAATAATAATAATAATAATATTGGAAGGGACCTTGGAGGTCATCTAGTCCAACCCCCTGCTCAGGCAGGAAACCCTATACCATTTCAGACAAATGGCTATCCAACCTCTTCTTGAAAACTTCCAGTGTTGGAGCATTCACCGCTTCTGGAGGCAGGTTGTTCCACTGGTTAATTGTTCTAACTGTCAGGAAGTTTCTCCTTAGTTCTAGGTTGCTTCTCCCCTTGGTTAGTTTCCATCCGTTGCTCCTTGTCCTGCCTTCAGGCCCTTTGGAAAATAGCTTGACTCCCTCTTCTTTGGGGCAGCCCCTGAGATATTGGAACACTGCTATCATGTCCCCCCTCGTCCTTCTCTTCGTTAAACTAGACATACCCAATTCCAGCAGCCATTCCTTATATGCTTTAGCCTCCAGTCCCCTGATCATCTTTGTTGCTCTTCTCTGCCCTCTTTCCAGAGTCTCAGCATCTTTTTTACATCGTGGTGACCAAAACTGGATGCCGTATTCCAAGTGTGGCCTTACCAAGGCATTGTAAAGTGGTATTAATACTTCGCGTGATCCTGATTCTATCCCTCTGTTAATGCAGCTTAGGACTGTGTTGGCTTTTTTGGCAGCTGCAGCACACAGCTGGCTCCTATTTAAGTGATTGTCCACTAGGACTCTGAGATCCCTCTCACAGTTACTACTATTGAGCAAGGTACCCCCTATACTATACCTGTACATTTGGGTTTTCTTGCCTAAATGTAGAACCTTCCTTTTTTCACCCTTGAATTTCATTTTGTTAGATAGCGCCCAGTGTTCAAGTCTGTCCAGGTCCTCCTGTATCTTAAGCCTGTCTTCTGGAGTGTTGGCTCTTCCTGCCAGCTTGGTGTCATCTGCAAATTTGATGATTTCCCCATCTATCCCCTATTATTCCTTCTCTATATCTATCCCTTATTATTCCTTCTCTTGGCTTTAGACAAACCTGAGGCTAGTGTCAATTAATTCCACCAGAAAACAATTAGATTACTGCAAAGTAGTGGAAACGGTTTAGCGGTGGTAAATTTATTTACTCTCCTGGTGGGTCCAGAAAGATAAGGCATTGAATGTCTTTAAGGCAATGTATTTTTTTTTAAAAAAAGAAGAAATTCTCAAAACAGCTGCAAGGCTGATTCCGCTCAAGAGACTGGCCCTCAAACTCTCTGGACGAGAACACATTCAAACTCACTTGAAAAGAGGAAAAGCAAGGATTTCACAGAATATTAACATCACAATTCCTGAAATGGAGCAAATAAAGAGAAAGGAATTGTCTGCGATTAGCACTGAGCACACACTTCTTTCTGAAGTGTGTGGGGGGGGGACGCATGTTGTTCTTGTTGTCATTCTCCAAAAAGCCCACAAAACTTGTGAGCGCAGAGGGAGAAAATAACACGGTACAGGTCATCCTCGATTTACGACCACAATTGAGCCCGGAATTTACGTTGCTAAGTGAGACGTTTGTTAAGTGTGTTTTGTCCCATCTTTCTTGCCACAGTGGTTAAGTGAATCACGGCAGTTGTTAAATTAGCAACACGGTTGTTAAGTGAATCTGGCTTCCCCACTGACTTTGATTGTCAGACGGTCGCAAAAGGGGATCGCGTGATCCCGGGGACACGGTGACCATCATAAATACGAATCAGTCCCCAAGCATCCGAATTTTGATCACGTGACCGTGGGGACG